AGCTGTGATGCCACGGCACTCTACCCAGGGGGACAGCTTGAGGCTCTGTCTCAAAAAAAAGAAAATGTGCTATATAACTCATTGCTGAATATCACTACGGTCACCTTTGTGTTACTCCTCTTGGGAAGCTATGCACCAATGCCAGTGTTTAGTCCACCTTTCAAAGCAATTGTGGAACTCTTTTCCTGGGATGGCCATCAGAGCTGTCATCATAGGCGGTCTGACAATTAAGTTCACTAACTTGCCACAGTGTGCTGACATCAGCAGCAATGTACAAATGACTCGGTATGGTTTTGTAACCTTGGTATATTAGTGTCCTACAGCTGTGTTCGAGTCAATGTGTAGTGGTATCTTGCTGAGGGTGTTCATTATTGCTGTTGTATATCTGTGCTATATAATGACTCCAGAAAACGAGTTATAGAATTGCTTTGAAAGGTGGACTAGGTGCTGGCATGGGTGCATAGCTTCCCAAGGGGTGACCTTCAAAGGTAACTGTAATGGTATTCAGCAATGAGGTATGCAGCACTTTTTCTAGGATGAGTTCATGAACTTAATTATCCGAACTTGTACAGATATAGTGAAATACAAGCTATAGAGTACATATGTGTAGACAAATTCCTGTACTCATGGACTTTTTATGAGACTATGACTTTGTTTCTTCTTTCCTAAACTGACAACTCTATGAGGGCCGAGATAACTTGTCTGTTTTGCTCCTAGCTCTATCTCCAAACCTGAAAAAGTGCCTTGCTGTTGTATATGTGTTGTAATCCAAAGGCAAACTTACCTTAAGGGATTAAGGTGAACAATTCATTTCATCGTCTTCCATCTACCCAAGGGGGGAAAAAAAAGGACTCAGTTTTTTTTTTTTTTTTTTTGAGACAGTCTTACTATGTCGCCCTCAGTAGAGTGCCATGGTATCACAGCTCACAGCAACCTCAAACTTGGGCTTAAGCGATTCTCTTGCCTTAGCCTCCCAAGTAGTTGGGGCTACAGGTGCCTGCCACAATGCCAGGCTATTTTTGTTGTTGTCATTGTTGTGTTAGCAAGCCCAGGACAGGTTCGAACCTGCCAGCCCTGGTGTATGTGGCCAGTACCCTAATCACTCAGCTATGGGTACCAAGCCAGGACTCAGATGTTTTGCTGAACTTTTCCATTACCCACTGATTTCTTTTTTTTTTTACTGAGACAGAGTCTCTCTATGTCACCCTCCATAGAGTGCTGTAAAGTCATAGCTCACAGCAACCTCAAACTCTTGGGCTTAAGTGATTCTCTTGCCTCAGCCTCCCAAGTAGCTGGGACTATAGGCACCTGCCACAATGCTGGGCTATTTTTTGTTGCAGTTATCATTGTTGTTTAGCTGGCCTGGGCTGGTTTTGAACCCGCCACCCTCAGTGTATCTGGCTGGTGCCATAACTACTGTGCTACCGGCGCCAAGCCTACCCACTGATTTTTACAGCTATTAGGAGGCAGGGAAAAGAATTTTAGCCTCAGAAACCATGTGATTTGGGGCAGAAAGAGGCAAACTGTGAAGGGGTCAATGTGAGCTCAGAACCATGTTTCCAGACCTCAGGGGCCAGCAGGGTGTGAGACTCAGGGGCGGCCAGGGGTTGGGGCAATGTGTCCACTCTGCTGATGGGGTGGTCCTGGGGGCGGATCTCCTTGGCCAGCCATCCCTTCTTCTTCAACCTGCAAGCTTCCTGGTACGGTGGCGAGATGGGCGGCTGTGTGGGTGGAGTATACTTGTACTCTGAGCCATCCTCTAGCTGCAGGGACACAAGAGGTGAGAGGTGGGGAGATGATGAGCACCTGGCAACAAAGGACAGCCTCCCCTTCCCCTACCTAATGGTCAGTTGGGCACTCACATCCAGTGGGTAGCTGCGATCCGAATCATAGGAGCTCAGGTCCCCACAGGTCACAAAAGGCACAATGATGCGGCTGGGACCATCCAGTTGGTTGAAATCTGGGTCTTAGGAATAGGGAGAGGTAAGACTGAAGACAAGGCTAGTATACTTGGTGCCAGTCACAATGCAGGATGCAGCATGGGGGCCCAGTTCTCCCCACAGATCCTCAGCTCCCTGCTCTGATATTCTATCCTATGTCACCTCATTTTCAAAATGTGATCTCAGGTTATGTGCAATAGCTCATGCCTGCAATCCTAGCATTCTGGGTTGCTTGAACTCAGGAATTCAAGATTAGCCTGAGCAAGATCGAGACCCCATCTTTACTAAAAATAGAAAAACTAGCTGGGCATTGTGGCAGGAACCTGTGATCCCAGCTACTTGGGAGGCTGAGGCA